GTTTATAAGATTATGCATGGGATAGAGCAGGTAGAGAAAGAGGTACTTTTCTCCCTTTCTCACAATACAAGAACTCGTGGGCACTCCATGAAATTGCTGAGCGGTCGGGTTAGAATGGATAAAAGGAAGTCCTTCTTCACCCAAAGAGTGATTAACACATGGAATTCACTGCCACAGGAGGTGGTGGCAGCTACAAGCATGGACGGCTTCAAAATGGAATTAAATAAGCATATGGAGCAGAGGTCCATCAGTGGCTATTAGCCACAAGGTATAGATAGGGACTCTGGGGCAAGTGATGCTCTGTATTCTTGGTGCTTGGGGGGGTCAACAGTGGGAGCGCTTCTAGTGTCCTGGCCCCACTGGTGGACCTCCTGATGGCACCTGGTATTTTTGGCCACTGTGTGACAGAATGTTGGACTGGATTGGCATGATCCAACATTGGCCTCTCTTATGTTCTTATGTAAATAAATAGTAAACAAACGCGAGCCAGTTTCCTCTGAGGGCAGCTCACTTTGGCATTCGAAAAACCTCCCATTTCCACTCCGCTGTTTGGGGTACAGAATCTTCAAGGGATGGCAGAGGAGCTGGTTTCATCAAAACCTAGCCAGTGGATTATGCGGGTCTGTTTGGCAGCTGAAATTGCCAATTTTGCAAACCAAAATTGTGTAATATTAAGTAAATGAGTGAGGAACCCCTGTCTTTAAAAAAGGTTCCAGAGGGAATTGGAAACAAATCAACTAGTATCACAATGCCCTTGTATATATCGATGGTGCAGCCTCATTTGGAATCCTGTGTACAGTTCTGGTCACCGCACCTCAAAAAAGATATTCTAGCACTGGGGAAAGTGCAGAAAAGGGCAACTGAAATGATTAAGGCGATTGAAAACTTTCCCTATGAAGAAAGTTTAAAGAGGTTAGGGCTCTTTAGCTTGGAGAAATGATGACTGAGGAGTGACACGATAGAGGTTTACAAAACTATGCTTGGGATAGAGAAGGTAGAGGAAAAAAGTACTTTTCTCCTTTTCTTGCAATGCAAGAACTCGTGGGCACTCGAAATTAATGAACAGTAGGCTCAGAACTGATAAAAGGAAGTCCTTCACCCAAAGAGTAATTAGCATATGCAATTCTCTGCCACAGGAAGTGGTGGCAGCTGCAGGCATAGACAGCTTCAAGAGGGGACAGGAGAAACATACGGAGCAGAGGTCCGTCAGTGGCTCTTAGCCACAAGGTATAGATGGAAATCTGTGTCTGAGGCAGGGATGCTCTGTATTCTTGGTGCTTGGGGGGCCACAGTGGGAGGGCTTCTGGAGTAGTGGCCCCGCTGGTGGACCTTCTGATGGCACCTGGGCTTTGGCCACTGTGCGACACAGAGTGTTGGACTGGATGGGCCATTGGCCTGATCCAACATTTGGCTTCTCTTATGTTCTTATGTCTGGGGCAGTGATGCTCTGTCTTCTTGGGGCTTGTGGGGGGGGCAACAATGGGAAGGCTTATGGAGTTCTGGTCCCGCTGGTGGACCTCCTGATGGCATCTGGGTTTTGGCACCTTGGGTCAGTCACAAGTTCTCTCAGAGCTGTTCTCTCAAGGGCAGACCTCGAAAGAGCTCTCTCAGCCCCACCTACCTCACAGGGTATCTATTGTGGGGAGGGGAAGGGGAAGGGATTGTAAGCCGCTCTGAGACTCCTTCGGGTAGGGAAGGGCGGGGTATAAATCCAGTCTCTCCTTCTTCTCTTGATTCCATCATTTCCAAGCCCCTACGAGGCATCTTCCCCACCCCAAGAAAAGCCCTGTTGGATCAAACCAAAGGGTTCATCTAGTCAAAGCATTCTGTGTCCAACCTATTCACAGGTATGCTGCTTCTGAACACGGGGGTTCTGTTTAGCTAATCCTGGATAACAGCCATTGATGGATATTTCCTCCCGTGGATTTGTCTAGGCCCCTTGAAAGTCATCAAAGCTACCAGCCACCTCTACCCCCCCTCGCTTGCTAGATCGTTTCAAATATGCCAGTAGGTTGCCTCTTCTCCTCTCTGCATCTAATGCAGTACCGTCTCTTTCAGAATGCAAATCCTTAAAATTCTTAAGAAAGATGGTGAGATGTCTGCATCCATATCAGGAGACGGACGCCTGTAGACAACTGCCTGTTCCCCCACCACCCCACCACCCCCGCCTTCAGTCCTGATTTCAGGAGGGGGCATCAAAACAGACTTGGAGCCGAGGCTGGAAATTCGCCTGGCGGCCTTTGTGTTTTCTTAAAAAGCCCCGATTAGAGAGACAGGAGCGCCAAAAATAGAACAGAAAAAGTCTTCTTTGAGCTGTGTCCCCTCCCTCCCACCCTCCCTCTTCTGAGACATGTGCTTTTGCATTCCTCCGGGGAGGTACAGCTTGGTGTT